CCAGCACCTACAGACGCTACATCGACTGTTTCTGGTACCACGACCGTTGCGGAAAATGAAAAATCTAGTGCATAAAACAATATGCCACGACGACATTTTACATTTCTCGAAAACTATAGATTAAAATATACCTGATTAGGTAAGGATAATATCGACCTAAATTACAGACACGATTTGTAAATATTAACACTTGATGTAACATTAAGAAACTTTTTTATTGATAACGAGAATATGTTCGGTCAAAAATTCAAACTTAAAACAATTTATTTAAATTGAATGTGTTCAAAAATTTGAAAGTACAGCCTAACAAACAGCACATCTAATTCGATGAGAGAAAACTCCAGTATACGGAAATCATTGTATATTAAATGAGCAATATTTTAATCACCTGTGACTGAATGTACGATTCGCATTTCACCACAATGCAAATCACATAACATTGATTCATAGGCATGATTTTAATTTTGTACATTTATTGTGTAACAGTGTACATGATCACTTTGGTATAGCAGGTACCAGCTCTATGTTTACTAGATTAGTAAGCACATCACATTATCGTAAAATATGAAGGGAGCATCGCATCTGTACCTTAATTTTATAAAAGCAAATAAATTCTGCAAGCAACTGTATTTAAGCTTAATTATTCCCTTTCAAACTGCAAGCACTCCTTCCTTAAATAAAAATCAAACTTCGAATAACATTTAATTTATAAAAGATTATACGTGTATTTACAATAAAATAATCATTTAAATTTTTTATACATTTTACGAGTTTCCACCAGCTTCTGAAGATTTTTCCCCTGCAGATGCAGCAGTCTTGTCTTCTGTTGAACCACATACTAAAAAGGGCAGCTTCTCGTTTAATGCGGCTCTATATTTTGGATGACTATATGATACAAAATATATTATTTTTTTTTAACATTATTATCTTTAATTAAAATAACATTGGGATATTTATAAAGTATGTACCTAATTCCATACACGATTGGATTATATATTGCATTCGCTTTTGCAAAAAGAGAACCCCATATCGTGAAGAGGGGTGTTATTAAAGATCGATTAAATATTCCAATATAATTGATTACAAGATACGGCGTCCATGCCATAAACCATAGCGATATTGTCGTTAGTGCAACCTAAAACAAAATAAAACAAAATAATTAAAAGTAATGCTTTAAGTTAAAGAGTACAAAATATTATACCTTTGCTAATTTTGCCTCAGCGCTAGTATTTTGATTATCTCCAGATCGTAAGGAAGCGACATTCATCTTTTTCGCTTGTTCTTTCATTGCTTTTTCATGTGCCGCAACAGCCTATAAAACAATGAGGTTCATAGTTATAAATATAATTAAAAATTTTTAACCAACATAATTTCTAAAATACTCACCGATACAATAAAATAATAACTATAAATAATAGTGAACAATGGAGTGTAATAAACGAAAACAGAATAAACTAATATATACGACTTAGAACTCCATTCTTGAGTAAGGTAATCTGTTCCGCATGCTGTCATATTACCCTCTGGAACATATCTAATTAATACACGATATCATTATGTATATTTCTTGTTTTTTATGCATAGGAAGTTGATTTTTATAATTAATATCACCTGTTCCATCCTACTAAAGGTAAAACTGTCCATAGCAAGCCAAAAGACCAGATACCTAAAATTTGAAGTATAGCTCTCTTGATGGTAAGGGGTGTCCCAGACATACCCTAAAAATATTTTACTTTTTTACAATATTATCTCTTTATTCTTAAAACATTGTAATTATTGGTACCTAAAGAATTGTTACTGCACATATATCTGTTTATATGTGTTTATGTATGCATATATACCTTTACTATAACATTATATCTATCTAAAGCAATAGCTGTCATTGTCCAAATGGAAGCACATCCGCATAATGATCCAACCATTGCATATATATCACACATTAAAGAACCTAAATCAAAGTAAAAAATTTTGTAAGATACTAGCGTTTCTAAACTTTTATAATAAATGTATCTATTTTTCTTACCGAGAATCCATGTTTCATAAAAACAACAAATTACCATAGGAGGACACATGAAACCCATCATAATAAAATCAGAGAAAGCAAGATTCACTACAAGAAGATTACTTGGTGTTCTTAGAGATGGTGTCATTATAAATACATAAACTACTACACCATTTCCACACCATCCCATAATACCTAATATAATCATGACTAAGCCTAAAACCTTATGCCATAATGGATCCAATGGAGGAAATTGGTACCTATGTTATAGGATATAATAAAATCATATAAATATATTACATTAAATTGCTAGTATAAATAACAAATATAGTAATTACCAATATGGATCAATTAAATGTAACACCTCTTCAGGTACTTTGCTAACTACTGTTTGATTATTAAAACGCATTAACTGACTTGCAAATTGTGGTCCTGTGGTAGTTGCTAGGGTAGATATATTTGGAGGCATGACTTCAATAAAAAAGGAAGTTGTATTGAACATATCCATTATCAATAAAATTTGAAAAAGTTTTTAATTTACACAGAAATATAACTTTGCATATCACGTTCTCCTTCTAGATTTAACTGTTCAGATTCTACAACTGCAACTATAAAAAGAATTGCTCTTCTTTTATACACTCAGTAAAGTAAGATCTAATATATTCATCCAATAAAATATTCAAATGATTTTATCTACAGCTTTAACAAATGCATTTGTATTGCTCTTACATAGATTCTAGACTGATGTGATATATAAAAATTACTGTCATCTTAAATTATAGTAATCTAATCAGAGTGAAACTTTACATATGCTATTAAATTCAACTTAAAATAATCAATATAAATTCAATTAATATATGGTGTTTTATTACAATATACAATTAAAAAGTGTTTAAATATATTTTATATAATGTATATTTTTATTAGATAAAATTTAATTATATTATAGTATCATCATTTTATTGCTCTTGAAAGTCTACGAATATGTTGACTGCAACCTTCTTGAAGAGCTTCTTCTAATTGTTGTGTTACGTGTGATAAATTGACAGGGTCAGTTTGAAGTAATACATGTTCAATATTTTCATCTTTGTCAGAATTTTTTATAGATAAATCTAAAGTAATAAGCGGAGCAACTTGTTTTAATAATGCTCTTGATGCAATCTACAAAAGAATGTATTATATACAATATAGAAATTCAATGTGTTAAGATTCAAAAGTGAAGTAATACAATACTTGAACTTCAAATCTCCATTCCATATCATGATACTTTGGTAATTTAAATCCAATATTTGTAAGTACATCCAATATTTCACTTTTTTTAGCATTATATAATTTGCTTAATATAACTTCTTGTTGTTCTGAGAAACCTAAAGATATTATGGAATCTCTAAAATCCTCAGAATTTAACTGGAAAAATTAAATATTAATTAAATGGTATTTTGTGAATTAAGTGTATTTTGTGAATTATGAATTGTCAATAAAATTTATATTACCTTATACCTACAACTCTCTAGTAATAAATTAACAAGCCCTTCCACTGAATTCTTAATTATATTTATTTCAACTTCCAATTTCTCTGGAAGAAAGCAATTAAAACAAACATTAATCCAAACCGTAAAACAATTTTAATTATTGATGTACAAAAGTCTTTACTTACGAGCTGCTGCGTTATATAATTTAATATTTGGCCCTTTTTGCAAATAATCTAGAGCTAATTTACAAAAGTCCTGTAAAACTGAACACAAATTCACGATGTTATTTTAGAATGAAATAAATTAGCGATAAAAAATAACAATGGTTTTACACACCTTGTGGTGTGTGCTCTATAAGAAGTAATACATGCTTTTTATGATCCGGTTTTAATGTTAATAACATTATTCTATTTTATTACAAATAATATTGTAGCTACGCAGACTAAATTTTATTTGTAAATAACAAAGTTCTCAATCGTATAACTGAAAACCGAAGATAAACCGCCATATTTATAATCCGTATTTATGCGAACAAAATCGCGTATTGGCGAATTACACTTTAATTTTTTATTCTATTCCCATGTATTAAAAATGCGTTATAAATTTTGTCTACAATTTTATTTTAACGTATACAAATATATTGTATACAAATTGTAATTTAGATAATAAATACGAACATTAATAATGTTAGGTTAGATAAGTGTAATATAGTATTGGAAGGATTATGATATAAAATCACCTTCAAATTATGGAACAATTGTTATTAAATAAATTAAATAATAAAAGCTTCACAAGAAATTTATTAACAAATTTAATCAGAAATAAGGATAATGACATTTATGGTTACATGATCTTTTTCGTTTTATGATATTGATATAACAAAGCGACAACATTATAATTTTTCAAGCATGAAATTATGCCTTTAATTGAGAAAATGATGCTTTCATTTCAGTTTCCTGAAACATTTCTTGATATTTCTCCAATGCTTCACGATATGTATTTAATTTCTTATCTAATGTAGTTATTAATTCCTCTACTCTTTTCCTAAAATTATAAATTAATTAATAATTGATCTTAGTCATTTTGTAAATTATTTTTATACATAATAACTTACAATTCTGAAGTGATATACTCCATTCGTTTAGCAACATTTTGTTTTGCTTCTTCTATATCCTGCTTAATTAGAACTGGTCCAATTAATTTAAAAACATCATCCTCTGGTTTCAAAAGATCTAACTCATTTTTAACCGCAATATTTTCATTTAACAGTCCATCCAGCTGTTGTCTTTGCTTCACTATTTGGAGGTAATCTGATACAAACAGAATCTATGTGTAACAGGACAGTTAATTAATTATAATTGCATAATATATTATGAAAAACATAATTTAAGTACAGAGATCAATAAGATACCTTTTTGAACCTGTTTATACTCGTCTACCTCACATTTAAATTGTTTTTGAAGTGCTTCTGTCGCGGTTGTCTGAAATGTATTAATAACAAATGAGGGTTATACGATAGGATAACGAGGTTATATTATATAAAATACAAATATCTAATTACATTTCTGATATTAAATGCATTTACCACAATAAACAAGGAAACGTAATTTTACTAAGGTATAAGGTGCAAATTACAATTGTTTTAAATCCTAATTTATTACTTTAAAAATATCGTACCATGTTGAAGCAGTAATGTTCCGTAACACGCTTTTTCACAAACTGTATAATAAATATTTATTAATAGGAAATAGAAGAAGTAGGAAGTTTTATATGTATATAGATATTCTTTCTAATTAAATTTATACTTATTTCTTTAACCTATTTTCAAATCCTTTCAAATGTTGACCAATTTAAATGTTACTGACATACGATATATACATGAATATATGAGTCATAGGGATGTACAAATTAGGAACAAAAATCAACTATATAAAGTTATTAAATAACTTCGAGATTGTATTATAGACTAACTCTATTTAAAATAACTCAATTCTTTACTTTTAAATTGAAGAGCAACATTTTTATAAAATATAGGGAGATAGAGAAATTAGGAAAATATGACGATATTTACATTTTCAACTAATCACAATATATAACTTATAAGGAGAATGCAAGTCCTTCGATTTAGTTGAAACTTTGCAGGTTTGTAGACTTCGTCATGCTATTCAAGAAAATATATCATTCTAGCTGCAACTACTTCATAGTTTTTGAAATATTCATGATTAAAATTTTATTAACTACATAACTACAGATTAATTTCCAATAGTTCAAAAGTGGTGATGTAGTCTAACGGCGACACTTGAAAGGTCATATGCTGGAAGTCCGGAGTTCAATTCCCGCCCACAACTGATTTCTTTTTCAATCTATTTTTTATTTTGTATTCATTTTTCACCTATGAAAACATTGTAAATAAACAATTGTAAATAAAATTTCTTAATAAAAAAATTTATTTTTTATGCTTTCTTATGCTAGTATATATTCGTTACAAAATAATAAGAATATTATACAAGAAAAACAGTTTTCTATAGCAATTTTATTTACTACAGAAAGAACACAAAAATATAAATAATCATATACAGGAAATACAAAACTTTCTTCTTCAGCGCCATCTATGATTTTAGACCCGAAAATGAGGAAAGTAACAGGAATACAAAATAGGCGAGGATTTATGAACTTTTATAATTGTATCGGAAAGGCAGATCCCTCAAGAATTTTCTATTATAATTTTGGATATACATATGAATGTATATATATAAACCACATATATACACTTTTTTTAATGTCATTTTCGGTACTTTAAATTCCCTATATTATTGTCTATAATTGTCGCGAGATGGTGACACAGTTAATGGTACAGATATTTTCTATAGAATATTATGTCTATGTTAAACTAATGATAATTTGTATTTAGACCATAAACAAATTGTAAGCGTTATTTTGATACAAATCAGAAGAATGGAAACAATATTAGAGCAGCAACGACGTTATCATGAAGAAAGAGAAAGATTAATGGATGCTATGGTTAAAGAAATGCTTTACAAAAAACCAGGACACAGAGAAAGTATAAATTCAGAACATCGGTTAAAAATGTTGCTTGATCAATACATGGATAGTACTTCACATTTACAGGATTTATATGAAGATAAAGATGGACAAAGAAAAGAAGAAGTATGTTAACTTTCTTGTAAGCTGATTACACTTCAATAATATAAATTTTTATTATGTAGGTGCAAGCACTTTCTGGACCAAATGAATTTTCTGAATTTTACTCTCGATTAAAATCTATAAAAGAATTCTACCGTCGACATCCCAATGAGATAAGTATCCCAATGTCTGTAGAATTTGAGGAATTAGCCAAAATGAGAGAAAATCCTACAGAGGAACTTTCAAATCTTGTTGAGTTTACGGATGAAGAAGGATATGGTAAATACTTGGATCTCCATGAATGTTATGAAAAATATATTAACCTTAAAGGAATAGAAAAAATAGATTATATTACATATTTATCAACTTTTGATCATCTATTTGATATACCAAGAGAAAGAAAAAATGCTGAATATCAAAAATATGTGGAATCTTTATTAGAATACTTGACTGATTATTTGAGTAGAGTTAGACCTTTACTTGATATAAATGCAGAATTAGAAGATGCAAATAAAGAGTTTGAATTACAATGGGAAAATAGTACATTTCCAGGATGGCCAAAGGAAACTGGTAGTGCTTTAACTCATGTGGGAGCTCATTTAGAACTTTCTGCTTTTTCTTCATGGGAAGAGCTTGCATCTCTTGGTTTAGACAGGTTAAAATCAGCACTAATGGCTTTGGGTTTAAAATGTGGTGGTACATTAGAAGAAAGAGCTCAAAGGCTTTTTAGTACAAAAGGAGAAGCATCTTTGGATCCAAATTTATTAGCCAAAAATAATAAAAATAGAAAATCTGGAAAGGGAAGAAATTCTGAGAAGCAAAAAGATATTGCGTATTTAGAAGCCCAAGTATATAAACTAGCAGAATTGGTATCAACTCAACGCGTAGCTACAAAAGAAAATGTTCAAAGGAAACAAGCTAGGACAGAAGGCGAAAGAGGAGATTCTGATGCTGAAGCTAGTGCTAGTGAATCAGAAGAAGAAGATGATAATGAGGTTCCTTATAATCCCAAAAATCTTCCCCTTGGTTGGGATGGTAAACCTATACCCTATTGGTTATATAAATTACATGGTTTAAATATTAGTTATAATTGCGAAATATGTGGAAATTTTACATATAAAGGACCAAAAGCTTTCCAAAGACATTTTGCAGAATGGAGACATGCACATGGTATGCGTTGTCTTGGTATTCCAAATACTGCACATTTCGCTAATGTAACACAAATAGAAGATGCCTTAGCTTTATGGGAAAAATTAAAAGCTCAAAAGCAAGCTGAACGCTGGCAACCAGAACAAGAAGAAGAATTTGAAGATTCACTTGGAAATGTTGTTAACCGAAAAACATATGAAGATTTAAAAAGACAAGGTCTTTTATAAAAATGCTGTATGATATTATGTTTCATATATTTAATATATGATATCTCTACTTCATAACTATTGTAATTTACAGTATATTGTTTGTAATATTATATGTATTAAAATAAATTTAATAAATAAAAAGATTAATATAAACTCTAAACAGCATTTTTGAGGCATTATAATATTGTATATCCATATTCAGTTAGCTTTGTAGTTAAAATTGCATCTGTTGTATCAGCTCCAACTAAATAGGAAAATGATAATTTTACAACAAATTTATTATACAATCACATTTAAAATGTTTATTGTAAATACACACAAACACGCGCGCGCGCATACATACATTTGTTACACACATATAACTTACCGATAATAAAAGCATATAGTTGAAAAACTTTAATATCATTAAAAAACCACTATTTGTGAATATCAAAAAAATATAAAAGATTAAGATAATTAGAAAATATAAATACCATCAAACTGGTAATCGTAAATATAATAAACTGTGTACATGTGAACATTATAATAGCATAACAAATTGAGAAAGAAGGCCGTAGTAGCGATAGGGAAAGTGACAACGAAATAAAAAGTTAAGAGAATTAATTATGAAGAAATAGGAAGAGTTGGTTTATTGTTTACATTATAACTATTTTATAGAAGGTAGGAATTTTTATTGACTGTCTTATATTTATATTTTCAGAGCAATGAAGGAAAGGACAAAAAATAAATTAAAAGTTACAAGAAATAAATCGAATAAAGTGGAAAATTATAAAATAGATGATGTTGAAGATGATAAAGATATAAAGAAAAATGAATAGGGGATAAAGAACTACTTATGAGATTTAGCACAAGGAAAGCCGAGAAGATGTACGATAAGAGAGATAGATGCAAGATAAACCAATATCTAGAAGTATTAGGATAAGTCGTGTATTTAAATAGTATCATTTGCAGCAGTGTATATATGTCCATAAATATTGTTACATATATATATGGTCATTATAATGAGAATTATTACGTGATATGTATTACGAAACATCTTTTTCTTGCAACGGTCCGTCATACGGACATCCAGTCAGATGTTATCTACTTTATATGTAATTGTTTATTAGGTCGTTAACAATTAACGTGTATATGTGAAACATTCAAAGTGAATAAAAAGTAACTAAGGTTTAGGTACTATAACAATTGTAGTTTCATTTTCTTTTTACCAAGAGCAAAGTCACTCATCTTCGTCTGTGACTTCATGTTCGTCTATAATTAATTCATCAACTTTTAAAATTGCATCATAAAGCACAGCCTTAGCGAGCTTTCTAATATAATTCTGAATATGAATTCCTTGTAATTTAAATTATTATTGGTGATTATTGCATAGAGTGTTTGAACTATTGCCGAAGATACTAATGGTTTACCTTCCCATAAGTATAATGGAATAATTACTAATTCAAGTTCATGAATTAATTATAGAAATTTGGAATTTTTTGAAAAGAAATATATTTATATTTACTTCATTGATAATAATAAATATAGGAAACATCGTTTGATATTTCACATCGATACTTTAGCACAATGCTATTTCAAAGTCGAAGCATCTTCCCGCGAAAACGGGACACAGATATGACCAATCGCAGAACACTTCTAGTCGACACGATTCAACGTGCCGGTATCACATGATGCAATATTTACACGCGTTACAGTGAAACTTTCAGTCCCTGAACAAAACGTTTCGTGAAGTAGTGTTATCCTTGATCAATCTTCCAAATACTGCAATTGACTAAAGAAATATTTAAGAATAATAACACGCAGTATTAGTTATTATTTCGGAACATTAAACAACCTTCACAACATCGTCGTGATATATGTGAAAGGACCACAACACAAGTTTTACAAATTGCGAGAACTTTATCAAGAACTGGATAAATAACTGTAACCATTTGTTCGACTGTAACAAACCACATTTGGAGAAAAGTGAAGGTACACATGTGAAATAAAATGACGGAAATACGAGTGACTGTGAAATCGTGCTACACAGTTCAATTCTTTCGCTTATATTTCCGACATTAAGCTTTTCGATTAGGTTTTCTCTGTATAGTAGTGTTGATTAGGCTTTCCTCTATCTCGTGAGTACATTTTTCTTGGATCTCGAGCATTCGACTACGAAATTTAGTGACGAAAGAACCTGCCCAATTGAATTTTTTCGCTTCTCTTTACGAAATTAGACCATCGGATTCGGTTTTTTCTATCTATCCGCGTAGAGTGGAATTTTCTCCAATGAGATTGGATATTTTTTTTCAGTTTCAAGCGTGCGTTTTTGAGAAATAGTGCCGTAAGTGTCAGTGCCTGTTAGATCGTGCTGCGCAATATACTTTTTGG